GCATCAAGAAGGACCTATGTCAACCAAAGCTGGTGTCTGAAATCTCTTGGTCAGCTCTGAAGCAAAACAGACAGGAGGCTTCATGTTTGCTATTAAGATTTACTAATATTTGCTGGAACAGATGGTGTCTATTCCTCAGCTTGCTCATCAGAAATCTCTCTGACATCTTCCACACATCTAGGAACATCAGCTTGCCAGCATAAATCTCAGCTTTCTGCCACAAAAGGGATTAGATTTCTTGAGGTCCAAGTTGCCCCAAATTCAGAAGGGAAATATTGTAAGAACAGCAAAGTTATTTTTATAAGTTGGGATCAATGACCCAAAGCTCTTACGTTTAGAATTTATGGAACTGGCAACTATTCTAGCTCCCTCTATCAGAGGTTTATGTGGCTGGACTGAGTAACTGCATCTAACCACCCATTAAGTTTGCCACAATGCCTATGAGTGATGCTAGGAGAGAGGCATTGTGGGAAATTAAAAAGTTCTCAATCTAGCTGTCTGGATTGTCAACCCAAAATAATGAAGCCAAGGGCAGGGATCTTTGGACCAAAGGATACCTGGAGTTGATCTCAGCCCAATATGCAATCCTCCTATTCCCATTCTCCATAGTCTCCTGAATGCTCATGCCTCTGGAAATCACTACAGGCAGTCCCCGGGTTAAGAACTTCCAACTTATGGACAATTTGTACTTATGAACTGACTGCCATAAAGCCTATTGTATTTAACATTTTAGTTAAATGATTGGTAATAACAAATGCACGCACTACTTTGTGACGCTGAAACATTGCGCAGTTTCAGCGGTTCATTGGCTTGAGGAAGGAGAATGCTGTCCACCATTTTATATACTATATACTAAGACAAACATTTGACTGACACTAAATAAGAACTGTGTGTACCTGTTCCGACTAAAAATTCGATCTCATTCACAACCCAGGGACTGCCCATATATCATTCCTTTGGGCATCATGGCTTTCCTTTTGTCATTCATATGTCTTGCTGTCAATCTTTGCCACCCTGACACCCTCTCATAATGACTTTAGTTAGGGGATTCTGAAAGCTGAAGTCCATCACTTTTGGAAGATATCAGTCTGGGGACACTGATCTGATGTCTTGCACACTTTTGTTGTGCTATGCAAAGTTGCTGTGGCTTTCCCCATTCAATGCCAGAAATAAATTATTCAGAAATAATGTAGGCATTATACAAATACTATCATAAACCCCAAAGCATCACACTCAGTGAAATATATGTACAGGTAGTCCTTGACTTACGACCATTCATTCAGTGACCATTTGAAGTTATGGCAGCACTGAACAAAGGGGCTTATGACCAGTCCCCGAAGTTACGGCTGTTGCAGCGTCCCTACAGTCAGGTGATCAAAATTCAGGCACTTCGGGGCTTTCAACTCCCCCCTGCCTATCTCCCCCCATCTATAACCTTTTGGCCCCCTGTTGCCATGTGCTCTGCTGCCCTAGCTGACCTTCACCATCTTCTTGCTCCCGCTGCTGACAAGAAGTGCCCAGCCTGGCCCTTTGCAAGGCAGATGCTGGCCATAAGAGGCTTTCTTCCCCAGGTTGTGCATGCTGGTTTCCTTGTAAGACCTGGGGAAGATGGCCTCGCATGGCCAGCAGCTGCCTCATGAAGAGCCAGGCTGGGCATGCCCTGAGCTGCAGCATGAAGCCCAGCCCCAGCCTGGCCCAAGAGCACAGCACAAAGGGGCTTTTTTTTGTGCTGTGGCTCTGGGGCTGCAAAAAGGATCCCCTGACCCACAGTGCAAAGCCCAGTCCCAGCCTGGCCCAGCAGCCAGACCAGGCATGCCTCATCAGCAGTGGGAGCAAGAAGATAGTAAAGGTCAACTGGGGTGGTAGAGTGCAGGGCTCTCGGAGTGCAGGGTGATGAGGACAACTGTGGCTGGGACTGGGCTGGGGTGGCTGCACTTCCCGGGGCTTGGCAAGCAGCCCCAGAGCCATGTAATTCTGGGACTGCTTGCTGCCCTACAAGGCAGGGTGCAGGGCAGCCGAAAGGCAGAAATGTGGGGGGAGATAGGAGGGTGGAGGGAGTTGGAGGCAGTCCCTTACCTTACTGAGGCTTGGGGCTCAGTACTGAAATTGGAATTGCTTGGATTGGGATTGGTCCTCAGCTAACAACTGGTGGAATTTGCTTAACGACTGCAATGGGGAGTGTTGGGATTGCTGTTGCTAAGCGATGCGGTCATGTGACATCTCACTTTATGACCGCATCGCTTAGCAACAGCAATCCCAACACTCCCCATTGCAGTCGTTAAGCAAATTCCACCAGTTGTTAGCTGAGGACCAATCCCAATCCAAGCAATTCCAATTTCAATACTGAGCCCCAAGCCTCAGTAAGGTAAGGGACTGCCTCCACCTCCCTCCACCCTCCTATCTCCCCCCACATTTCTGCCTTTCGGCTGCCCCCCACCCCGCCCTGTAGGGGAGCAAGCAGGCCCA